TCCACTTGGAGCCCCGGGCACCGGCTGGTCCGTCCGTCATCTTCAGGCTGGGGATGTGTAGGCGGTCGATGTTGATGGTTTCCCACATGTTCTTGCCCGCCAGGAGGGCCACTTTCTCCTCCAGCGTAAGGGACTGGAGCAGTTGGCGCACATGGGAGGATGCTCTTTCTTCCTGAGGCATGTTGAGCAGCAGATCGGTATGGAAATCCCAGAAATGGTTGATCTTGGGGATACTGTTGGCAGAGATCGGGGGAAGGAGAGGGTAATTGTTCTTTTCTGGTCACCCATGCACTCCACTTTGCATCTCTACGACTCTACACTCCCGCCCCCACGGGGAAGAATATGGACTTTCTGTCCGGATTCCCTCCTCGAGTCCTCCGGTGTGACAAACCGAATCTGTTACTGTATGAAGATGCTTCACTGGTGATGCCCTATTAGTCCCGGCGATATAGTGGAGAATCAGTCGCCGAATTAGTGGGTCCGCCGGGTCCACTGGGCCCGCCATACAGGTTTGCCTCTCGCGGACAAGATCCCGACTTGGAACATGGTATGAGGCCTTCAGCCCCCACGGCTCAAAGGTTAGGGTTTGACTGGCATGGACGTGACACTAAGGTTCGTGTTGAACCCACCCTCACATGGGTATCTGGTTCTTTTCATGGGCCTGCCACGAACATGACCCACCCCTCAGGAGTCCTTCCCCGCGGGGGAATTGTCACCCTTCCTTCGAGCTCCAACGAGGTATCAAGTTGCTCCGACTCTGGTCATTACCAGGCACCCAATATTCCCTTCCAGTAAGCCCCTATGGAGGTAAAGGATGATTGTTGAAACGCTAAAATCAGCACTGAGAGTTTGCTTGTCGGCCAAGCGCGATTATGCTCGTATTTGGCATGACTTAAAGCTGGTAGCGTTTCCCTCTCGCGTAGAATAGAAGTAGAGTCTGCAGATTCTCTGGCTTAATCAAGAACTGCGCTGGCGAAGGAACCTGTCTATGCTCTCTCTTTATACTTTTATCCTTCCAAGCATGTCATCTTCCAACCCTTCACGGGGTTTCCCCTGGCTCATCTGGGTCGTGGCTATCTTCGGCTCCGTCTCATCCGCGGGCTTTGGCTTCGATCAGGGCTGGTGGGCAAGTATGATGAGCTTGACGCAGTTTAACCGTCACTTTGGCTCCTATGACCCGGCTCAACAGGCCTGGTCCCTCAGTAATCGACAACAGTCCCTCGGCACGGGTCTGGGTTATGTAGGAGTCATCCTCGGGCTGGTGTGCGGAACACCTCTCAACGAACGGCTTGGACGGCGGAACAGCCTCTGGGTGCAATCGGCGGTGGTGACTGCCGGAGTCGCCATTGAAGCATCCTGCCAGGACAGCTACGCGCAGTTTCTCGTGGGCAAGGCAGTCGTCTACTTCGCCGGTGGCATCGCCTCGACGGTCATTCCGGTCTACCAAGGAGAGTGCGCACCTCAGCACCTCCGAGGAATGATGACGAGTCTATACAATGCCTTCCTGATGGTAGGCGGCTTTTGTGCCGCCCTTATCGTCTACCTCTGTCGTCATGTGCCGAGCGACTGGGCCTGGCGCAGTGTTGTGGTCGCGCAAGTAGCTATTCCCGCCATGGGGTGGCTGAGCCTGCCCTTCCTTCCTGAATCACCCTACTGGCTACTCCGTCGTGGCCGTCGTGCTGCCGCCATCTCCAGCCTGCGCCGGCTGCATGCCCTGGACGCCGCTGCCGCTGAGGCCGAAATCCTTTCCATCGAACAACAACTCGTCCTGCAGCAACACCAACAACAACAAGAGAAGGAGCTCGCATCCTGGATGGCTTGCTTGACAGATCCCGTCTACTTCCGTCGCACTCTCATTGCTGTGGGCGCACAGATCTTCCAGCAAGCCCAGGGAATCTCCTTCGTGGCCAACTATCAGGCCGTTTTTCTGGAACAAGTCGGTTTCCGCCAGGTTTTGTTGATGTCGGTGATTGTCTATATCATCGGCATAATCGGCAATTTGACGGGAATGTTCATGGCTGACCGGCTGGGTCGTCGCAACGTGCTCCTCCCGGCATCTGGCCTCCTCGGTGCCTGTATGCTAACCATTGGCGGCCTCACCACCCCTTCCACATCCTCATCCTCCCTCTCCATCGCTGTGGTATTCATGCTCATGCTTTGGTTCTTTACCTTTCAGAGCACATGGGGCCCGTTGGCCTGGGCAATCACCGCCGAAATTCCACCCACAGGGACCGCTGTCCGCGAGAAGATGGTTACGCTGGCGGGATTTTCGGCATACGGCACCGGTCTGGTTATCGTCTTTGTGAATCCCTACACTCAGGCTGCTATTGGGGGTAAGGTAGCCTTCATATACGGCGCACTGTCCATCGTCGCGGCAGCGTTTGTCTGGATGTTTGTACCGGAAACAAAACGGCGTTCGTTGGAGGAGATTGACGAGATGTTTATGGCGCGAGTGCCCGTGCGAGAGTTCAAAACGTATCAGTGCCACAGCAGTGCATTCGGTTTAGACAAAGCTGTGGATGACAAAGCGTCAGTGGATGAATGCATTTGAATTGAGGGTTCATCACGATAGTGGGGCTGAAGTGCGTCTCATAGATATAGTAGCTACGTTGTATCAGGCAGAAGATTATTAAGGCATACAATCTCGCGTCAATATACTGGCATAGTAAGGAGCGAGCCACTCAAATAAAGGTTTAAGATATTAAAATTCAGAAAACGCCGAATTTATCAGTTTATCTTCAATACTACAGGATCAATGATTTGATTTCAAATAACTTAGATCCCTTCCAGGAGGCCAGGACTCTCGCACAAATTTGTCGAACAGGGCTTCACAACTCTTCTATACAAATTCCCTCACTCGCATGATTCAGGTCGAAGTGTAAGCGCTATGCGCACGTATGCGACTTCCTAGACGGAAGAACAACCAGGGCAGAGGCGCAAAAGCAGCGGCCAAGAACCCCAATAAGCTAGATGCCCAGCTATAGCCCAAGTTATGATACACTAGAGGCGTGACCATTTTTAGTGGCTGACTAGGAAGGGGAAATATACGAGTGACTTACTGGCTACCGTAAAAAGAGGAAATGAGCCGCCAATGCCGTATCTCAGTAAGCCATTGGCGGCCAGCGCAGAAGCTCCGAACTTGGCACCATACACCCGGGTGAGGTAGAGGGCAGTAGATACCTTGCGGCAGACAATAGGGTCAGCGTTCAGATTTCAATGTCGAGTGAGACGACCTGCCAACTCACGAATACCATAATGTTGGAGCAGCCGAAAAGACCGATCGCAACGATGCTGCTCATCCAGTGCACATGACTGGTCGAGGTCCAGGCAAACCAAAACAGAGCAGCTGGCATCAACGGACCGCCAATCATGGCAGCCCACAAGACGCGCTCTGGGGGCGGGGCTATCCCTCCTCCAGGATGAAGCCGGACATGCCGCGCCAATGTATAGTGGTCCGCCACCAACAGCCCGACACTTCCAAGCAGACAACCCAGGGCCAACGCAATAAAAACCAGTCCGCATTGGCCCGAGGTGAAGCCGTACACATCGGTGTAAACGAGCGGAACACAGGCGAGAAAACAGAACAAGACAGAGAAGTTGAGGGACGAATACATCGAGCACAGACTCACAATCGGCTCGGTGAAGATCATATACACTGGTCGTGCCAAAGTCACCGTGAGCATCATCTGGAACCCAGCCCAGCCCGGTGGAATTGGGTTGGGGGGAACTGGGAGTCCTAGTTTAGCAGCACGGCGACGGATCAGGGGCTGGGCATAGGACTCCTGGGCCCCCATGCTGAAGATCCAGAAGGCTGCCCCGAGGAATAGCGATGTCCACTGCGACCAGCGCCAATCCTTGTACTGGGCGATCCAGCCCCCAATTAGCGAACCAATGGCCGGGCCAAGGAAGGCAGTGGTCATGAGTAGGGTGACACCGCGCCCGGTAGCTTGTCCACTCCAGACGTCCATGATTGTGCCCGCCCCAACGGCCAAGGGCGCTGAGATGAACATCCCCGCCAGTAAGCGACACACAGCGAGAGTGGCGAGGTTGTGAGCGAAGCCCGCCCCGAGGATGAAGAGCATAGCAATGGGGGTCATGATGAGGTAGATGAAGCGACGACCGTAGGTCTCACTGATGGGAGCTGCAATCATGGGCCCGAAGGCCAGGCCATAGACGTACATAGCGAAGGGCACCAGAGATTTGGTAGTCGAGGTGTGGAAGGCTTCTTGAACATGGCTGTGGGAAGGAGAGTAGATAGCCAGCGCGAACGATCTATCAACATTGCATTGCAATGTTATGATTAGTATCAGTCGTCTATGGAAGGCGTCTCCATTTCCGCGTGTGTGAACTCACATCAACAGACAAAGAAGCGACGGCACAGCAGTATTGTAAATCTTTTTGGAACGACTCCAGTTCTGAGCATTAGCGGGATCATCCTCCCATAGGGGCAGTGACGATGAGGGTAGAGCGACCGTCTTGGGTTCACTGCTGTCCGAGCTACTGGATCGCATGATGGCTATGACGGTCGCATTTGATCTGCTTCATCATCTTAAGCAAACCGATACTCGGTCGCTTTATATAAAAGACATAGTCCGGCAAGATCGGATGCTTTCGGTGGGGCTCCCATCGACTATCAATAATCTCAATGCATGTCTAGGTGATATGCTCTGTGAGGACATGATCTTTAGTTCGCCGACGCTGTTTGAAACCGCTTCCCCCCGGGATTGTTCCACGTTCGCGTGGTCCGGTACTCAGGATGTAGAAATGCTTCGTCGACACTCTCCTGAGCTGCTTGATTTTTTGCCAGTTCGGCGTGAAATTGGAACACTATCCTTCTAACTTCAGCTATTTCCAAGAGTTGATGCCCTGGTGTGACGGGTGCAATCGGCGCCTGTCTATCGGGACGGGCCCGGGGAAGGGTCCACTATTTCGGCGAGTCTAAAATCGTAGACCCATGAGATGGTCTCTATCTATCCGACCCATGTATTTACATGCTGTCCCTAATTCGATGCCATCGCCTCGCTCTTCTCCTTCAGCACTTTCTGTACCTCTGGTCTCGTCTTCATTCTCTGCATCCACGCCTCCACGTGGGGAAATTGCTCGGTCAATTCCTGCACCACGCGCTGGTCCCCGACCACCAATGGCACCAGATCCTGCCAGGGAACAAAGGAGAGGTCTGCATATGTGCACTTGTCTCCCACAAGCCATTCGCGGTCCGTCAACACCCGGTCCAGCACGCTCATCACGCGTCGGATTTCCGCCGTGTAGCGTTCGATGGCCTGGGGCACCTGCTCGGGCTGCCGCCGGAACCAGCCTAGCTGTCCGTAATACGGACCCTGCCCGGACACTTGGAAATGCAGCCACTGCTGCAGCTGGTGGCGTTCGGGAAACGTGTCATAGCTCAGCTGGTGACTCGGATCATAGGTCTCAATTAGGTAGTTCACAATGGCGCCTGACTCCCACAGGGTGATGTTCTTGTTGGGATCCACGATGGTTGGCAGCCGTCCATTGGGACAGAGGCTCACGTAGGGCTCCTTTTTCACCTCGGTGAAGTCAACCATGATCGTTTCGTAGGGGATGCGCAGAGCGGAGAGGATGATGGCGACCTTCCACGGATTAGGCCCGATGGGGTGCGAGTAGAGAGTGATGGGCTGCATGGTCTTTGCTGTTTTGCTCGGAGGAAGCGTGTTGGAGATTCAGAAGGAATGGAAGTCTGTGTTTGCTTGTCTGAGGACTTGGTAGACTTTCGGTGGCTTTGATCCATCAAGGCCAACCCTATATAGTGCCGGGAAGGATGGAAGGCTGCAGGCTGCATGGTGGGTCGCCGTCGCCGAATCTGCAATCAATTCGGCGACTTCGTTCCTTTTGGCTTATCTCATCGTTGCTTGGTAGGAGAGTCTATGGGCGTTCTAGACTTGCGGTTCAAGGGTAGGATGAATATTCTACTTCAGGCTATCACTTTAGGTAGGCGGTACAGTCATCATATGGTCGACAAATGAAGCATGGAGGGCGGCGAGTCCACTTCCACTGGAATCGAAGACTTGATGAACAGAATTATGTCGAACAACTCAGTAGCCAGTTAGCAACTTCAGGGGATTAATGCAGACTCCAATTGATCTGTTGAGATCTGTCAGTTGGTAGTGGCTAAAACAAGTAGATAGTACTGGAGTTGTACATTCCGGGTCCGAAATCGACATTCTTCCCAACCACAAGGCCTATGTAGAGGTGTTTTTATATATTTTCATTCCAAGGTAGCTTGATTGATGGTAGTCGTATCATGATGCGAATACTTCAATTCCGCCCTATTTCTAATGTTGAAGTTGAACGAGATGTGTATATCTGTTTCTTAATACGACTATTTGGTGGGCAGCTACTGGCTGAGATTATATATAACTGTTGGACTGAGGGACAAACAGGGCCACGCTATTCGCTCGCTGAATTGGGCAAAGATCCCGAAAAAACGCCTAGGTTTTGTTCTTCTACCTAGAAATATCTTGATGGGAGGAAAGGCAAAGATAACCACATTTATAAATGAAAACACCTCTACCGTGTTGGCACTTGGCAGACCAGGTGTGGCTGATACTTTCTGCGCCACCTCCAAGAGTGGCGGAGGTGGCTGGTGCAATATGGGGGAATGAGTCAAAAAGAAGAAAAAGAAGTTAAAATTGGATCTTCGCAGAACATACTCAACTTAGAAGAAAACACCAGCAGCAGCAACCATCATTATGCCGTACCAGCTCGTCATCTTTGACTTTGACGGCACCCTGTTCGACACCTACGATGCCATCGAGCACTCCATCCAGTTGACCTTCCAACGCCTCCTGCCCTCCCATCCTCCACCTTCGTCCAGCGACATTCGCCCGCTCGTCTCCACCGGCGCGCCTCCCGGGGACACCTTTCGCAGTCTACACCCCGATCCCACCACCTTCGACGAGTCTCTCTGGATCCCCACCTACCGCGAGCTGTATGCTATCCATGGCCAATCCCGTACGAGTCCCTATCCCGCCGCTCGCGACGTCCTACAAGCCTTGCACGACCGGAATCAACCCATGGCCATCATCAGCAACAAAGCTGCGGTCGCAGTGAAGGCGGCCCTGGAGAAGACCGACATGCTGCAGTTCTTTTCAGATTCCCTCATCCTGGGTCATGGTGTGGCCGGCGTCCAGCGCAAGCCGGATCCGTCCAGCTTCACAGACGTGCTCTGGCCGAACTGGAAGGCTCTCGGGGCGCCCGATGCTGTGGAGGCGGAGCGCGTGCTGATGGTTGGAGACACATTGACGGACATCCTATACGCAAGAAACATTGGAGCACAGGTGTGCTGGTGTCGGTACGGTCAGGGCGACGTTGAGGAGTGCCAACGGCTACAACCGGATCACACTGCGGAGACATTAGAAGATGTGCTTAAGATCGTGGAGGGCAGATCGTGACTGGCGAGAAACCCTCTGGCCTCTCGCTCATGACAAGGCACGATGGTGTAGGCAGCTCTTCGTTTTTCACGCGATGCGCATAGACTTAGATCCACATAGACCTATTGCTCGTCTCAGTTCCCCGATACTGGGGATCAAGGCACCTCACACCTCCCCCTTCCACCAGCCTACTGGTCTGCAATCTCCAGGAGAGTAGCAATCCCGGGGATGCCTCTAACCTACTAAATGCAGCGTGTAACTGCGTCGTTGAATAGGTCCCCGGTTCGTGTAGGTGCCAGTCTAGTAAATGAGAGTAGTCTCTCCTTGCTGGCAGATAGGAGGCACCGGCCTGGTGTGAGTCCCAACTTTCCCCTGTCCTCGCCAGCGGGCCTTGTCATTTCGCTCTTCAAGCGTGGTCCGGTCGTTCAATTTTTGCAAACCTAGTTTCCGCACGTCTCTGTTCCAGGTTGTGCACGAGCACAGCCTGGTGGTTCTAAAACCGTGGGGGCATCTCACATTCCCGGCTGGGTCTTCCTCCACAGAAGGATTTTAACACGGGAAATCGAAACTTCCCCAGCTTCACATCAACTGTGTGGTGTCTGATTCAAGAGTCATGCAGTTCAACCGGCATACTGAATCCATCCAGATCCTTCGTCGCCATGTCAACTACGCACATGCAATATGACGTCACATCCCTGGTTTGCCGGTGCGGGGAGATTCCACGCGTCTCAGGAACCATCTGAACCGTTGTTGTCAGTGCATCCTCACCCCAGGTTCTTGTTGGCTTCCTATATACTTCCTGACTGCTCCACCATTGGCGCAACAACAGTATGGCCTTTGCGCGTCGGCTCGCCATCCTCCCCGGTGGCCTAGGTAGGCATTGCCTCAACCCTCGTTACATTCCCGTGCTGGGTATTGACTGCCTGTCCCCGATAAGGCGGCCTGGGCTCGAGTATCGGCAAGAAGCTCCGCCAACAAGGTGCTCGGCTAGCTATTCTGTATGCCCCCTTCGAGGCTGCCCGACGCGATGAGCTGCTAGAGGCTGGCTACGGCGAGCTGCCCGCGGGCGAGGGAATCCGAACGTATGAATGCGACATCACAAACCCCGAGGCTGTCCAGTCCGTCTTCACCACCCTGAAGGAGGACGTTCTCAACCCATCATCGACGACGCAGTCTGCCCGCGCCTTCCCCAGTATCCTAGTTAATACGGCGGGCTATGTATCGCTCAGTGATCTAGAGCTCACCCCGCCGGAAGAAACGCTGAAGCATCTGCATACCAATGTCCTGGGCCCCATGCTGTGCTCGCAGGCATTCGCGCGATTGTACTTGGCCGCCGCTGAGGTGGCTCATTCGTCACCCAACCCGCCGCCTCCGGGTCGCATCGTCAACCTGGCCTCGCAAGCCGCACATGTGGCCCTCCATCGCCACGGGGCCTATTGTGCCTCCAAGGCAGCCCTGTTGGGGCTAACGCGCAGTATGGCTTCTGAATGGGGAGGCCGCGGTATCACAGCGAACAGCGTGTCTCCAACAGTGGCCTGGACCGCTCTGGGACAGAAGGCCTGGGGGCAGGATGATGTGCGGGAGGCTTTCTTGAAGACGATCCCGACAGGCAAGTTTGCGCAGCCAGATGAGGTTGCGGATGCGGTTTTGTTTCTTTGTCAGGTACGCAGCTGACTCAATAACTGAGTGGTATTTCGCTTTGTTCTGATTTGTGAAACAGGACTCGAGTGAAATGATCAATGGAGCGGACATTCGCGTAGACGGTGGCTTTACTATCAGGTAAACTGGACCGGGATTTGACCTTGACCAGTTGAAAGTCCACTATATGATAGATATCTGATACTACATCGAGCACAAGGAATACCAATCCGGATATAACGGCATTAATGAGAACATGCTTAGAGATCATTCTTGGCAGGCCAACCTTGGTATGACAGCGTCAGTACATATAAAGTATGCGTTCCTATGTCTTGTGAGAAATAGAGTGATTATGGTGTAAATTCGAGGAGCGCTTCGAGTTCAATTCCCCCAGTATCCGGCTACGGCCTAGGAAGAGGAGTACAAAGCTGGCATTATACTTGGATCCTGTTTGTCTATATTGCCTGTGATTAGTGGGAGTTTCACCCCCCCCAGGGACTTCACGGTTGACATACCACACCCACACAAATGGTAACATTCATAGCGCAGTCGATACGCCACAAGTCTGCCCAGAAAAGTTGTCTGTCCATTGTGCCGAACGGACCAACCACGTCAATAGCATCAGGATTTTTGGACATTGGTGGAGGTAATTTTTCTCACATTTTCTACGGGAGTTGCTCTTCGCTGGTGATTCCACCAGTCTGTGGACAGGCCATTGAGGTTGTGGTGCCTCCCGTGAACGAGGTCGGAATGAGCGCGGTAGTGACCCATGGAACGGCGACAGCAGGTAATTTCTATTCCTGAGACGTCCTACCGCTGACTGGTTAGAGATAAGATTTTCGGCTGAGACCTTGGATCGTATCAGTTGGCCCATTCGGCCGGCTGGTCCAGTTTCTGCCCTGGAATCAGCCACCGGACAGTGCCCGAAGTGACACTATTCGGGTTCGCTACACGAGCTCGAAAAACCAAGCAGCAGCGCTCTACACTGTCGCTGCATTCAAGCCACTTTTCCAACCCATGCGACTTATCTGAACATTTTCTGGGCCGCATACAATGATCATAGTAACGACTCTTTCACCCTCAGCAGTCATAGGAACCCGCGCGTGTCCTGAACTGGTGGACGGGTTGACAGAATTTTCACCTCAAAGTTTCCCGCTCCGATCTTAATTCCCATGCCTTTGGAACGGTACTACAAGCTGGGCCGTTCCAGAGTGGGCTTATTAACACGAGTGTGTCAATACGCCGCTTTCCTTGGCCATGAGAATTATCCGCGCAGCTACACCCTTACCCCTTGTAATATTCAGCTGCGCAGGGGAAAGACTCAGTAGAAGGCGACATTCCAATCAGCAGATCAACTTTAGAAAAGGCTATCCTTTCAGTAGGAAACATCCCGAGAACGACATCGACAATAAGGCAGTTACACCAGTAGAGTCTCACTCTCCCTTGACTTATTTGATTGCCGCGATCGGCCCCGGAGCCACGGGCGCCTCAAACATGGAAGCACGGATGGAACCTCGAGGGAAGGACTTCCAGCAATCGTATGCACGCGCGAAATAACCCCTTTGAGAATTAGGTGGGCCCACTGGGCTTCAAGGCTGCTTCGGGGAATCGGAGGTTTTATTGTCACGAGCGGCATAGGAGCTCGTCAAGCAGTACTTACAAGACACAGCTCCCGGTTGTTGTCTACGTCCCCTTAACACGCAATGGAAGCTCCCATCTCCGGTTGAGAGGCTATACAATCGGCCGGCGTGCTATTAGCTGTCCTCTTGTTGGCTCTAGCAAGTGTCAGCAGAAGCTGTAACAGCTAAAAGGAGCCAGGCACCTGGGGTGCCTTCTACTATGCCATCAGCCTAACAGATCACACCCGGTACTTCTCTGAAAAAATCAACTTTTTTGTCTTTTCAGAACATGGTGTCGAGCGCCAACACCTGGGTGTGGTTAGCGGTGGTGCTGCTAGTCAGTAAGTGATCGTCGGGGAAAACGGCGTGACAGGATGCTGATCAGTGCTGATCGCCTATCGTGACAGCCCTACTGCGCTATGTCTCCCGAACGTTGCAGATGGGAGTGCCCCGCCATCTTCAACTCGAGGATTTGTTGATGTGCTTTACTGTTGTACGCTTGACCTTTAAGTTATCATCCAAATAACGGCCCCATGACTCACAGCCATAACAGGTCTTCTACATCTTGCTGACCGTGTTCTTGATTGAAGTGCAAAAGCATGGCACCAACGAGATCCCCAGAGAACAATTCGGTGACATCGAGCCCTCCTCCATCCCAGACCGTATCACAGGTAGCAAGCTGGTCATTGTGGTGGAGCAGATGTGGCTAGCCACCATTTGGGGTTGCAAGGCTTGCCTGCTGCTGCTGTATTCAACCATGACGTGGGTTTGCCTTGCGTGAAATTTGTGACACAGCATCTGATTGTTTTCTAGCTCCGGACTATCGCAGCATCGGATCGTGAAGATCATCGGTGCCTTCTGTGCCCTTAGTTTCGTCATTGTGGAGATCTTATTCTTTGCCGCCTGGTGTCGTCCCTTTTCCGCATATTGGTCCGTGCCGCCGAAGAACCTCCAGTGTTCCGTCTATCGCAATCACTTGATTTTGGTACTCACACTGAATATCTTAACTGACCTGATGATCATGGCCATTCCGCTACCCCTGCTGGTAAAGGCGAAACTTACTTTGGCCAAGAAGGTCACGCTTTGCGCAGTCTTCTCGCTGGGTGCTTTTGTGATTCTGTGCTCAATTCTGTCCAAGTACTACTCCCTGTCTAATCCATATGGCGACCAATGGGTGGATTGGTACATCCGCGAGGCTGCCACAGCAGTGATCGTGGCCAATATTCCTCAAACCTGGACTTTATTTCGCCGACTGTTCAATTGGCGGGCGTTCCTGGCCCATTCGTCATACGACCGCAGCCATGGAAAATACACCAGTCGCTTGGACAGCTCGACCATCCATTTATCCCGCTTCCGCGCCGGCGATAAGTCCCAGGGCCGGTCTACGATCGACCCAACCGAATCCGGCGAGTACATTACTCGAGAGCAGCCGTTGGAGATTTGGGAGCATCGCCAGTTCCACGTCACAAATGAGCCCGAAGAGTTGCGGAAGAGCAGCAGCCTGAGCCAAAGCAGTAGTGGTAGCGTGGAATTCGACACGACCGGATACCAGACGCAGCAGTCGCGGACAATCGTGACAGCAACTGAATGATTTAGCTGTGATCCTCGGTCAACCGGTATGTAGGAGATATTTGTTGTATCATATCTAGTGTCAGAATGAATCTAAGATGCCCTCTGCCGAGTCCTCTCTCCAGCTTCTCAACAGAGCGATGCTAAGCCAGAATAGGAATAGGAGTAATGACAACAGCTTCCAACCAATGATCA